AAATATGCTTATGCTGGAACTCCAGCATAATATACTGGCATATTTTTCGGGTTTTGAATAGTATGTTCGCTCATATTTATCTTTACATGAAAAGTGGCTAAATTTTGATTACTTTTGAAACTGGACTATTTTTGAACGACCTATTGTAAATCTGGCTATTTTTGAATTTCTCCCATATATACATATACATGGGTGCGTGTGTGTGCGACGGCTAAAACTTCGTAGTATCCAATTAAAGAAAATTTGCACAATAAGTGAAAAATCTCAAGACATTATGTTTAAGGATTAACCTCTCAGTTATGCATTACATGTTTGAGTTCTACCAAGGACTTGAATCCTCTTCAATTCTCAAACATAAAATCCTCCTATTAAGTCACCTAGAAGCAATCAAAAGAAAAGAAACAGGACAAAACCGTTGGCAGGTCTGTGTGAGATGGCTAAAAGAGCAAAACGTTTTCCCACTCAAGGCCCAAATAAAGTGTTCGCTTTCTATGTTATCATTCATAAATAAATAAATGAATTTTTACACCCTATAGAAAACCTTAGTACCTTATTTATTTTAAATAAATACCATTTTAAAATATTACATCTTATAGATACCTTTTATACTTTATAGCCAAATATCTAATTATAGTTACATCCTACATTTAAGGCATCATATATGCTAAATAATATTTCTCTCTCTCCTTTTTAGTCTTTTCTCTCACATAATCACAGTAAAATTGACTAACCACGTTCTCTCTCTTTTTGCATACACTTTACTCTTTTTCCCTCAACCCACGATTCATACCTCTTCTCCCACCCAAATTCTCTAGTTCTCCTCCATTATCACTCCATTACAATCGCCTAGGGTAAGTTTAATTCGTTGATTTTGATAGACGAAGAGCAATTGGTTCAACTGTAGTGGCTCGATTCTGCTTGGCAGTGGTCGTTGAAGTAGGGTTCACAGCTTTTGCGTAATTCACGGCTTCGTTTGTGGGATTTGAGGGTTGGGGATTGTTTGTAGTTGTTGTAGGAGGTTGGGCAGATGTGTTAAGGGGCTGACCAGCCGGAACTAATGGCTGGCCGCCGGCCGGCCAAGCCATCAGGCTGCTTCTCTCTCTAGGAGAATATCATGTGATTTGATTTCCTTCCGTTTTTAACCAGTTTAACCTTCTGTATTTAACGTTAATGTCGCTTGAATACAGCTAAATACATGTCAAACTTAGTTGGAATTCCAGTTTTTACGCCTATTTTTTTGGTTGTATTAATGAATACAACAACTTAAATACATAAAATACATTATATAAAAACATAAAAGGTATCTATAACACGTAATATAGCAAAGGGTATCTATAAATGGTTAATTAGACTTAAAAGATGGTGCTTTATGAAAAAATTTCATAAATAAATAAAGAAAAAAGGTTGGGCCAGACTGAAGTAGTACCAGCAAAAGTGTACTAGGGGTGCATTCAAATCGTTTTATCGATAAATCGAATCGATTATTTGTTATCGATTTATCGATTTCGATTTCGAAATTTTCCTTATCGAGTTATCGATTTCGATTTCGATTTTGTCCTCTTCGGTTATCGGTTTATCGATAAACCGATAAGATATACAAAAAAAATACCCTTATTCTATAATACCCTTTCCTTTACCCTAAATCTCTAACCTTATTATTTCCTCTACCACATTTAAGGAATGATCATATTTAAAGCTCAAGGGAATGAAGTTCAAATTAATGAAAAATAGAATTAGCCTTGATGATGTATTTTATTTATACCGTTGGAGTGTTGGTGGCATACATTTGATCCCTTACTTTAGTTTCGTTGCATGTGCTTGTTGACACAATTTTTATGTTATAAACGGTGTTCGTCTTATTTTAACTTCTTTTTGTCCATATTAGTTAGGCGTGTTTATAGCGATATACTTTCCGTGGAATCCCGCAAATTTTCTTATTGGTGTAATCGATAACCGAATCGATAAGCCCCAAAAATCGATAAATCGAAATCGAAAAAATCGAAACCTCATTGAAACGATAATGATAAGCATATGTACAAATCAATAATCGATAAGTAATTATCGATAAGGGTCAAAATCGAATCGATAAATCGAATGCACACCCTAAAGTGTACTACATTTTTTCAATTTGGCACTTATCCACGGGTAATCAGAAGTTTTTCTTTTGGTTGGGGTCGGACTAATTCGAATTTGCGCAGGAAAATTCCTTTTCGAGAGGTACAACTCTCTCTGCTAAATACCGCTTCATATCTAAGGTTCAAATTCAGTACTTTTGATATTTACTATTCCACCACAACCTCTAAAAACGTAATAGGAGGTGATATCTAAGAAATGATGAAAGTCTAAGTAGCAATCCGTTGGGAATAAACTTATGCTCTTTATCCCCTTGAATCGGTTGAAACTAACAGGGTTCTAACCATGGGCAGCTCAAGTATATGCGGGCCTAAATCCAAAATTTAATATGAGGTCTTTAAAAGAAAGTTATACGATATGTTTTTATTTAAAGTCTATTTTTCTAGCTTTTTGAGATACAAAGTGTTGGTAATCCTTTTTATAGTCGATTTTCCCTAATAACTCATTTTCAATTGATAATATAGCCAACTCATTAATCTTTCTTGAGATATTGTTAATTTTAGATAAGATTTTATGGAGCAATAGAAGTATAGAACTATTGGAAGCTTAAATTTCTTGGAGAAAGAAGGTGAGTAAGAATACTAAAGAGAAAGGCAGAAAATATGTAGAGTTTTCTGAAATATGAAGAGATCGGGAAAAGATAGATTGACTTGGACAAATTAAGAAATGAAGAGCAAAATTTTTACACATTATCTAATGAAGGAATAAGAAGTGAAAAATTGAAATGTTGGAAAAACTATTCATCTATCTATATTTAAGTAAATCAAATTATTACTTTATTTATGTATCTAAAGAGCCTTCTTTCCTTTTATATTAAAAACTCGAGTTTTGTATTAAAAGTACTAAATATTAGTTTTTAAATACCTACAAACCTATTATTTTTAGAAAATAAGGCCTCAAAATTTGGGAGCATAAGGCACAAGCCTTACTACTCAACACATTAAAGCCGGCGCTGGTTCTAACTTCTAACCAACAGCTTTCTCTAAGGACCTCCAATGGCCTAGCTAATGAATTTTTCTGTCCCAATATGCGTCATATGCTAAGCTACCTAAAAAAAAAAAACGTCATGTGCTAAGCTAGCAGCCAATGAGCAAATTTGTTTACCTGTCTTACGTGTACTTGTGTCATGCTCATACTGCAAGCTAGCCAAACTGAAAGATGACTTTTAAGGAATATCTTACTTAAGTAGTCACCTGAGAAATAAGCAAGAGAAACATGCGTCATCCTCACTTCCAAAAACCCACAAAACTCTCCAACAAACTAACAATATACCAAAGTCATAAACGCTGCTTGTAATTAAAACAACAATTTCCAACGGAAGGCTCAGACTTTCTTTTTCTCAATAAACTCAAAAGTTACAATTTTGAGATACAGTGAAACTTTTAATGATAAAAGACCAAGTAAACGGATATAATCAGTTAAAAACGAACACCCTGATAAAACATCAATTTCAAAGAATTTGAGTTCCATAACTGTAAAGTAAACTTCATAGGCATTTAAGCACCTTTTTAAATACTTTAACTATCTGGAAACTGAAACACCAAACCTAGAATCCTGGGGGAGAGTTGCTTCTGTTTTTCTTTCTTGCAAGGCATCATTAAACCAAGGTGCACTCCATTTTTATCTCCCTTCAGTTATAAATACATCTTCAAACAATAAACATTCTAAAACAAATTTGAAGAATTGAAAAGAAAATTTAACTAAACATTTCAAGGGTATGGAGGTTAAGGTGGAAAAGGAGACATCCCGGAATCTGGATGAAGAGAAAGCTCCCCTGCTGCTTGAAAACTCAGCCCTGCCTGAAGTGGAGAAAAACATGATACAACAGGCAATCAGCCAGACATTTAAAAGCACTGCCCACCTTGCCAATCTTCTGCCTACTGGGTCTGTTCTTGCTTTTCAACTTTTATCACCCATATTCACAAACCAAGGGGAGTGTGATGTGATTGGCAGATCCTTGACTGCTGCTCTTGTAGCACTTTGTGGACTGTCATGTTTCCTGTTAAGCTTTACTGATAGTTTCAAGGACCAAAAAGGAAATGTTTGCTATGGGTTTGCCACACTGCGAGGCCTGTGGATAATTGATGGATCAGCGGCTCCCCCACCAGAGATCGCAGCAAACTACAAGCTAAAATTTATAGATTTCATGCATGCCATCATGTCAATATTGGTTTTTGCAGCTGTTGCGTTGTTTGATCAGAATGTGGTAAATTGTTTCTACCCAACACCTTCATATCAAACACAGGAACTGCTTACAGCTCTGCCAGTGGCAATTGGGGTCATCTGCAGTATGTTGTTTGTGGTGTTTCCTACGCAACGTCATGGCATTGGCTTCCCCCTCACCTCTAACTAATATGTTTGTTCTCATAGGCTTGTCGCATATGTATCCTATCTTTATTTTACATTCAGAGTGAGATTAATGCTTTTTATTGGTTTTTCCAATCATGTAACAAAGCAACCAATTTCATGGACTTTGACCCAACTTGCCAGATGAAGCTGTAAATGACTTTAGCAGCGAATGTAGATATAAGAATGCTAGTGTTTGCCTTCATGAAATTTGAAGATAATCTGTAGTTCAGAAAGTCAGAGATCAACAAGTTGCATTTTCAACATGCAAAAGAGTCATAATTCAAAATTTTGGAGGAAGATACTTGAATTAAAAAGTGCACTTAATCATGTAAATGTAATATAATAAGCACTTCATGGAAAACAGGAAGCCCAAGAAACCCCATATTCTGGGGCATTCAGGAATAGAGTTTCTGGACACTTACCACTGTGCAATGCGAAGATTGAACTGCAACTTGAACCCTTGAGTTCCAGGTTTCCGTGGAATAATCTTAGCTTTGACCAAATAGATAAAAAAGAGCTAATACAACAGACACCCACTATATTATGATTTACCAAAATTGTTCTTAGACGCTGAACAATGCATAAAACCAGGTTATTTTGGTGCTGACATTCATATGGATTAACAAAGGCATCTACGGTCATAATCAGAAACTTGAACAAGACATCAAGATCCAAAATCCATACGTTTATACATCAGGGCAGCCTGTACCGAATCAGCTGCTTCCCTTACCTTCCTTCTATCCCAAAATCCACCCACCACAACCGCCCATGTTTGTTCATCTGGAATGCTTCCATCAATCAACATTTCCTCGACAATACGAGCAGCCTTGTGCACGTCTCCTTTCTTGCAGAAATGGTTGACCAGAATCTCAAAAGACTTGTCCTCAACTGAGATGGCTCGGGTGCGCATGCTTAGATATAATTGAAAAGCTCGATTTGGATCATTCACGGCACACAGGCCTTGGACTACTGCATTATGGATCTTCACATGCAAGCTCCAAGTTAATCGGTTTGGAGATATTCCACTAAGAATCATTTCATCAAGATAGTTGGCTGCTTCTTGAAACTTGTTATTCTCACAAAAGCCATTGATAACTTTCCAGTATAACCCGGCATCAGGTTTACATCCCTGAATTTTCATTCTGTCGAAAACCTCTAAGGCTTCTCCAATTTTACCTTCTCCACAAAGTCCGTGAATTAAGGAACTGTAAGTTATCATATTTGGAACCTTATGTTCATGAATCATTATCTCCAATAGCTCCATTGCATGAGAAGAACGTCCACCCTTACACAGACCGTCCATCAAAGAACTATAAGTGAACACATTGGGCTCAATACCTTTGCTCCTCATGTCCTCAAGCAATCCCATGGCTTCATCCAAGTTATTTGACTGGCAAAATCCATGAATCAAACAAGTATAGGTGACTACAGTAGGGGAACAACCATTTGCTTCCATCTCCGTCAGAAGTTCTTTTGCTTCAGTGGCCTTGCCCAATTTGCAAAGCCCATTAATTAGAGTCCCATATGTATAGGAATCCGGTGTAAATCCGCGATTCGGCATCTCACGGAATATACGAAAAGCAGAACCTATTGTTCCACTGTTCTTGCAGAGAGCTTTAATCAAAATATTAAGCGAAGCAACACAAGGTGGAATGCCCATCCCCCTCATGTAACGATAAAACCTAAAAGCAGTTTTTAACCGGTTTTCATCAACAAGTACAGAGAACACCGTAATATACGACTTTTGCGTTGGCTCACAATCATATTCCTTCATCTTTTGGAAAACCCTGATCACCTCGAGTGGCTTGTGAACCCGCCCATAGGCTCTATAGATTGAGAGGAATATATCCTCAGTAATTTTACAGCTCTCGCCCTTCATTCTGACAAGCATTTCCTCCGCTAGATTGAAATGATTTGCAGAAAGCAATCTAGAGATGATGAGACCAAATGTGCTACGATCATGCCGGAAGCCATTAGAGTACTCTGCTGTTGCTGCGTCAAATATAAGAACAGCTTTTTGTACATCTTTTTCTGCTCGAATCAGTTGTTCGACAAGGGTTGTCGTGACTTTTCTAGGCCATTTGATTGCTAACTTGCTGCTCATCACTTCAACACTCCTCTTCAAATGCTGCAATCCCCTTTCCAGAAATATGTGTCTCAAATTTCAGCTAATATCATTAGCTTTTCACTGATTAAAGTTGTAACAACTACAATGCTTCTTGTCGATCCGATGTATTTGAAGCATCCAATATTGTAGCTGAGAAACTGTAATACCCAATAAAAAATTCATCAGGGTCTAATATCTAACAACATTGTTACCAGCTAAAGAAATGCCAAAAATAACAAGATCTCTAGCAGGCATTGCATCAAACAAGTTGGTGTCAATTGTACAAAACTGAATTTCAAGCTGAAAATACACTGGTACAGGAATATCCAACTAAAGAATTTATTATATCGGAAGCAAAGAAGAGAAATTTTGATTAAAGCTTTAACGTTTTTGATTGATCAGCACAACATAGTGAAGTGGATCAATATTTAAAGGCAGTGCATGCACGAGTGCCTTTAATGTCGATCTGCCATTAACCACAAAGAGTAAGAGATGCGATGGTGAAAACAAGAAAGGAGAGCATGAGTGTATCTATGTCAATGCTCAGCAAAAGACTAGGGTATTTTGAGTTTTCAGTGTTATAAATTAGAGAAAAGGTGAAAAACAGCAAGCTCTCTGACTTGGGTTGAAAATCTAAAAAAAAAGTTACTACAATATTTAAGATGCATTCAGTTGGCGATAACGACAATAAAGAAATCATGAGAATTTATCCACAAAACCTCTCTGACTTTCAAGACAGAAATCAAAGGTCAAATTTTAGAAAGTAGCGTTTTTGAGTTTTTCCACTTACCCCAACTGAACCGTAAGGGACTCACTTAACCCATATGATAGAAATGAGAATATCTGACAATGGCGAATATATCAAGCATTTCGACAAACACCTTCCCTGCATTATTATTTTCCCAACTTGGCTTCTCTGCTTAAATTCTTACATTCACTAAGTGCGACATTCTCATATAAATACATCTTTAACCAGCTTCCAAATTCACAATATCCTCAGAACATATAATCATAGATTCATAGCAGGAATTGAGAATTACCTTCTCTGTAAGTAATGCTCATCGACTAGTTATCCTGCCTTGGGGTCGAGACAGCTTCATTCTCTTTTGGTCTTCTCGTCTCCTACTAAGGTCTTCTGATAAATTATGCTGGAAAAAATGGTACTAACAAAGGCGGCTGGGTAATATTTTTCCCTTCCAAGTTCCATGCGCTTCATTTTATGTTAGTACCTATTTTTAGGTGTTCTTAGGTTTTATGGTTCGGTTTGGATCGATTTTTCTTTAAAAAGAAATCAAATTAATTAAGTCGGTTTTTCAAATATTAGAACTAAACCAAATCAATTAAGTCGATTTTTTTTCGATTCGGTTTATGTTGGTTTTTCGGTTTTTTCGGTTATTTGTCGATTTTTTCTTAAATATAAGACATACATTACCAAACACACATTTCGGTGATCACATTTTCAACGTAACACTATCAAATCAATTGCTCTTTGAGAAATCTATTATTTACCAAGATATATTGATGATAATCGAATCAAATAGTGATGAATAATTTAAGGACTCAATTAAAAATACGTTATTTTTAACATGAAATAGATTTTTACACTTAACAAAAGAAAACTACCAATTAAACTAGAATATAAAGGTAAAGAACTGTACGAAAAGTGCAAACGATTAATATTTACTATAAAAAAATTTAAACTTTGTATAAAAATATACATATATATATAGGTGTAATAATAATTTTAAAATAACTACTCCTATATTCGGTTCGGTTCGGTTTTTTTAATTAAAACCAAAACCAAACCAAATTTAATCGGTTTTTAAATTTCAAAACCAAAACCAAACCAAACCAAAAAGTATTGATTTTTTTGGTCGGTTTGGTTTGGTTTTCGGTTTGGTTCGGGTTTTCGGATTTTTATGAACACCCCTAGTCTTACCTAGTATAAAAATTGCAAACTAATCCCGTAAAAGATTTACCCGCAAAGTAAGAGCATGTTTGGCCGAGCTTGGCCCCAAAAAAGTACTTTTATTTTTATACTTTTGGGAAGAAGCAAAAAATTATAGCTTCTTCCAAAAAGCAGAAGTAGAAATAAAAAATTAATTTATTTAGGGCAAAACTATCCTCACCATAAATTTATATTTTCCAAATTATCCCTTACTAATTTAAGTTTTTTCTTTTCATTTTTTATTCTAGTTTTTACCATCCTATTAAAATTAAAGATATCATTGTGACGACCCGAAGGGTCATCACCGTAGTTCTTCCTTATTTCGCGCTTTCGAGGCCTTGAAAACCTCGCTTTTAGTTGCCTTGATTTGGCGTGTGAAGTTCGGGCGCGTATCCGGAAAGTTTTTATGTTAGAATATGTGAATTAGGTGAAACATTTGATGAATTTTGGTATTAATATGCATAATGTTGACTTCGGTCAACATTTTGGGTAAACGGACTCGGACCTGTGATTCGACGGTCCCGGAGGGTCCGTAGAAAAATATGAGACTTGGGCGTGTGCCCGGAATTAAATTCCGAGGTCCCAAACCCGAGAAATGAATTTTTGTGTGAAATTGTTTTCTGAAATTAATTAAGGAAAATGAAGAAGAAAATTGATCAGAAAACTGTGGTATCGGGCTCGTATTTTGGTTCCGACGCCCGGTACGAGTCTTAAATATGTTTTAAGCACT